CACTATTTTGTTTGAATTGCTTTGTGCACATTATATCGAAAAATGTATTGCTCACGATAAGTAACAGTACGATAGCGAGGGCTAACTTCGTTTATCGCGCGTTGTTTGAAGTACTTGAAATTTTTATCGTACTTTGTTTGAAATACCTGAAATTTTGTGTAGCACCTCTCAATTCCATATATATATATATATATATATATATATATATATATATATATATATATATATATATAGTAAGAAATATATATATAAAATTTTACATTAATTGCATTAATTCCGAGTTTCATGCCGAAGCAATTTTCAAGTGCTGAAATTATTATTTTTATTTTTATTTTGGGCTTACACCGGTTTTTAAAAATGTTTTTGTTTCTCGCGAGATATTTTATTGTTGGGTTGAAATATTATTGTTGTTTAAATGAATTGTAGTTTAATTTTGAATTTTAATTTAGACTCACATTAAAATTTAAGTTTGAAAATGAAGTCGGAAATAAGAAATATAAATTCTAATTTAGAGATTAACTGATTTTGAAAATGCAAGTAAACAAAAAGGGACATTGGAAAATCAAGGCGGGTAACTCTATTTTTTTTTCAGAAAATCAAAAGCGTAATTAATAATATTACTAATATTAATATTAGTAAACTAACTAAAACTAATTATATCAATAACAAAATATGACGGGATTAAATAAAATAAAGTAAAATAAAGTACTAATAAAATAATAAAAATAATAATACATAACGATTAAAAGAAAATAATTCAAAATAAAATAAGAAAAATAAAGTATAATGATAGAAGAACCTTATATAGGAATATATAAATATGTAAATAAATTTAAAATATTTACATGAATTGTAGTTTAATTTTGAATTTAAATTTCGGTTCAGATCGAAATTTAAGATTGAAAATAAAGTTCGAAATAAAAAATATAAATTCTAATTTAGAGAAACGCTGATGTAAATAGTAAACTAGAAGTGATGTTTGAAAATCAAGGGGAGTAACTCTATTTTTTCTGGAATTCAACAGAGTAATTAATAATATAATTAATATTAATATTAGTAAATTAACTAAAACTTAATATTCTACCCCAACAATAAGGTATCTCGAGAACCGGAATTTTATTACCCGCCCCCCCCAAAAAAAAACCGGTGTCAACCCAAAATAAAAATAATAATTCCAACAGTTGAAAATTGCTTCGACATGAAACTAGGAGTTATGCAATTAATGTGAGATATTATGTATATACTACACACAGACATACATACAAATATATATATATATATATATACACACACACACACACACACACACACACACACACACACACACACACACACACATATATATATATATATATATATATATATATATATATATATATATATATATATATAGGGTAGAATAAAGCTTCCTCAGAGAAAAAACATATCCACATCAGTATGCGGACAACATCCAAGCATAAATGATGCTTATAAGACACACACGTTCTCTCTCGCTCGGTCAATGAAAACAACGCAAGAATAAACATACCATGATGAAGCTTGAATAAAAGCGAAACATGTTATATTTATAAACGCTTTTTATTGTTTTTTTTATTTATCCTATATATATATATATATATATATATATATATATATATATATATACCCAAGTATATAATTGGTATATACGGAATGAATTCCAATAACTAACAATTACTATTCTTAAAAGAGTGCTCAATACAAACTAGAGCAGATATAATTATTATTTATAAAAATTATAACATAAGTATACTTCTGTTATAATTTTTATACTTATAACATAAGTATACTTATGTTATAATTTTTTGACGGATTTCTTTTGATTTTACGATATTGTTGTGTACGTTTGTTTGGGAGAGCAGTAATTTTGATAAGAAAGGTGAAATAGGGAAAAAGCCTGGGAGTAGATTAATATTTGGGTAATATTCAATGGCGGCACTCTCTAGGATTTTCCTTCTTAGTGAGTTATTTTCTTTTTTTATGAGTGTAGCATTTTTAAAATCAAAATTATGGTTGAATTTATTTATGTATGACAATTACAATGAACTAAAGTGCAGTAGCTAAATTTAATAATTTTTTTGAGGTCTCTTTTGTGCTCATAAATGCTTTTTTTAAAAATTTCTACTTGTTTCTCCAATATATTGGAAGGAACAGTTTTGGCAATTTATTTTATAAACGCCTACTTCAGAAATATTATTGCTATTAGTGTTTGAAGATCTTAGTATATCCATAATGACTTTGGAAGTGTTTGTGACAAGTTTAAGATTATTTAGATAGGATAGGTTATTCTGGATAGTGGACGTGACAGAGTTGGTCGGTAGTATCATGTATCTGTTTTCATGTAATTTACTATTGCGGATTATGTTATTGTCTTTTCGACAGGTTAGCCCTGAGAAATTTTCATATATATATATATATATATATGAATGGTGATTTCGCCTAGCATGAAACAGCCTGTCGCTTCTGAGTGTTGACTTCAATCTTTACTAATATATTTAAATTACATACGCTCTATCTCTGGTATTGAGCACTTTATCCCATAAATGTAGCACGCATTAAACTATATTTCTTCATCTTCATATATATATATATAT